CTTGTTGCGCTTCCACTGCCAATGCAGCACCCGCCCCCCCACTTGCACCGCCGACGCCTTGCATAGATACTCGTTGTAGAACTCTCGAGCGGGGGCCATCCACGGCTCTTGTTTCACTCCTTCTTTGTTGTACTGCAAGGCCGCCCAGTGCATGGTCGTCGCGAAGATGGTCACGAAGGGCGGACCTCTGCTCTGGAAGTCGACGGCTTCTCCTTTTTTGCCTTGGCCTTGAGCTCCTGCGACTGGTCGTTGTAGTCCGCCCCCGCACTCTCGTTCGTCGCCGCGAAGTCCGCGTCCGCGCAGATGTCGCACGTGCGGCACACCGTGCTCGACACCTCTGCCAGAGCGCGGCTGTCCGTGAGTACGAGCTTGCCGAGGATGAGCACCAGCTTGACCAACGCGTCTTGCCCGCGCGCCGCCCTCCTCGCCTCCTCCCTGACGTTGCTGCCGCCTGCGTCGCCACCACGGCCCTTTTTGCTCGCAGGGCCTGGCGACGGGTCCCTCAGCCACGCGGGACGCTCCAGCGCCCCCTCCATCGCCACCTCCGACATAAGCAGCGGCTGGCCCAGGAGAGAATGATACTCCAAGATCTGCCTCTGGGGCAGAGGATACGGACGGGTCCACCTCACACGGAAGATGGCTTGTGACCAAATGGCTACATAAGTTGTCCAAATCGCTGGGGTGATATCCGCACACTCTGCATACCAATGACGGTGGAGGCCGAACTCCCGAGAAAGTTGCCGAACCCCTTGACGGACACTTACCACTCATCAGGGCCCTCTGGGGGTGCTTGTAAGCGTTATCCTGGCTAGCGAATACACGTCTACATACTATGCACGTGTTTGTAGGGGTCACCGTAATAGCTAGATTGTGTGCTTGATGTATTTGGCGCATATGGTTCATAAGGTCCCTCTTGGTCTGGAACCCGTGCCCGCATGCCGTCCCCGCCTCCGAAACCCATTCACACTTCCAAGGGAACTCCAGAGGTGCTCCTGGGGCGTCCTGCATTTCTTTCGTGTAGAAGTCCGAAGGAGGGATCACCTTTGCCAGCTCGCGTGCACGAATCTCCGTAAAGCCCACGCGAGTCCAGAACACAAGATAATCTTCGTTCACTATCTCGCCTGGACAGCGAGCAAAATTGGCACAAAGGTCGCCCTCGTCAAGCGCATCTGCTGCACGCCGAAAGTCAGTCTGCAGTCGAAGGAGCCACGGAGATGCCACTTTGGGGATGACTGTGTTGTCGCGCAACGGTTGCCCCCCCCCCACATCCAGGCCCAGGGTCCCGAACAACAAGCAAAGCTCCTGGCTGTGTCTCTTCGGGGATAGGGCCCAAGTACGATACCACCCCAGGCGCCTGACCAGCAACCCCGTCAGAACTAGCGAGGCGCCAATGCTGCATCACTCTCTTGTTCGACCACGACCGAATCTTCCCGTCCACCTTCGTCGTCGCCTTCCCTTGTAATGCCCTCCTCCCATAGCGAGCCAGAAGCGAGTCGGGTTCACGATACTGGCGATTGGTGAGCAGCATTGGTTCTAAACCAGCGAGCGCCGCATTCTGCACGAAACTCAGAAACATGGCCCGCTTCCAGCGGAACGGCAGCTCCAGGGACCATATCTGGCCCAAAGCATAGTACGACTCGGCGGTAGCTTGAATTCTGCGACTAATCTCCACTGAAGAAGATAACAGCATTTTAAGCGTGGGGCCCAGGTACCTGACGTGCCCCTGAAGATATCCTGCAAATTGTTTTCGACCCTGACCCCTCGCCCACTGTTGACACTGTAAGGCCCCAGGCCCCTGAAAGCAAAGCTGAACCTTCTGCTTCCCGATGTTTTGTGCATACCCAATAGCGTCCAACTCCTCCGAAAGGGCCACATCAGCTTGCTTCAGGACCCGAAAAAAGTGCCCACGGTACCGTGAGGTTGGGCCACGTGAGCTCGAAAGATATCGTCGGCGTAAAGGCAGCCACCGACGTCCGCACGTAAATCTCTCCAACTAGCAACCAGCCCAGCAGCAGACTTGTCCAAATCTCTAAGACGATGAAGCCACTGCAGGATGGGTCGAGCAAAGGTTCCCCGAAAGAGCTCCACGACGAACGGGTCTCCCATCGTTCCTCCTTCCCCCGTCTTGGTGCACATCCCCCCCCTTCCATGGTCTCTTCTAGCCAGATCACACTGCATCGAAAGCGCTGAACATACAAAACTACATCCTGAGGTTCTGCGTGGAGCTCTACCGTCTGGTCCAGTTCCCCCCTGCCCCCGCTGGCGAAAGCGTTGGACATGTCCATAAATGTAAACGCGAAAGAACGTCCAGCGCGTCGAAGGGGCCAGCAGAGGAGCTGTGCAACTAAAATAGCTCCTTCACGACGTCTGCCTTCACAAAAGCCGTGCTCCGTGACCATGGGAGGAACCCGAAGAAGGCCTGAATAGAAAGCTTTCCCAACGGCCGGCAGTGCATGGACCGCCCTGCGGCCCACGGGCCCTGGCTTGGCGTTGTTTTTTTTTCCGAAGTTGCGCTCCAGAACTGATGTGCCACCGAAGCGGGGTTCGATTCGTAGCCCGAACTATCCGCAGGCCCCCCATCAAAAATCTTCCCAAACAGCTTCATCTCAGGGACTACCTGCTCGTAACCTACCCCGTGCCCCTTGGTGCCCATGTTGGCCCCTGGGTCCATACACATCAACCATGCCTCAGCTGGCGGGGCCCCTGCTGGCACCATGCGTCTCTTACTGGCACTCCTGAAGTACTTCTGGATTCTCCACTGGTCCTTCTGAGCGAGCTCGCAGTCCTCGGGCGTGATGTAGGGGGTGGGGCCAAGTGGATATTCGTTCAGCCAGTCCTCAAAGACGATCTTACGGGCCGACATGCCCCCGTCCCTGCCCTTCTTGCCCCAGTGGTCGAGCAACTCCTGCCCTGCAAAATAGCCCCCCCCCCCGCAGGAGCCGTCCGCCCCGTCTCTTCGGTCCGAAGCGGCATCGCGCCGCCTGCCTCGAAAGCCTCATAGCCTCTGCAAGACGACGGGCCTGCCACGCCTCATCAATCTCATCCAATAGAGCGGTACGACGTTGCTGATCGAATTGCTGCCGTTCTCGCCGTAGGCGCTGACTGAGCCTCTTCAGCTGCTCCTCGCACTTGCGCAGCTCCGTAGAATCCCCCTTCATGTCCTGCCGAGACCGTCGGAGTCGAGCGCGTTCTTTCAGAAGCTCGGTTTGTTCTGCCGCTGCTCGCCTGTATGCGGGGTCGTTAGATACAACATGGCCAAACATATGTTGCCCGATCGTTACCAGCACGTCCTCAAGGTGAAAAAAGATTTCGTCTGGTCTCCCGTCGGTCAGCATGGCCCTCCAGGTATCTTCCGTCTCCTGCAGGCGCGCTTCCACCTTCTCAAGAAACTCGACTCGACGATGCCCTCGTCGTAGACACTGCATAAGGTCGTCCTGATTCCACGTCATGCGATCTGGTGCTGGTGTCAACGTCTCCGCCGTGCAAATCGCCTGCATGCCGTGTAGCTCCATGTAGACTGGGATGTGGTCCTTCGGCGGGCCCCCCTTGAAAGCCTGCAGCTCCGCTCCCAAACTGAATAAAGGGGAAAACTTCTGTGCCATATCAATCATGCCATCTGGTATGAAAAAGGTAGTCAATGCAACTGCTGTGTCCAGACGCGTTGTAATACGTGTGCTCTAACGTCTGGCTACGAGAATTCATCATGTACATATGGTGGCGCTCGTTCACCATCCTCATCATTTCACCCGCGCCCCCACGAGCTCGGCCTGGCCCCATCGACTGCGACTCCACGTGCTGCCACTGGCCATCGATCCTGCTGATGCCCATGCCGTCGTTCAGGTCCGCGTACACCAACGGTGTACACCTGCATGGTAGTTGTTGTAAAACTCCCTCGTACCACTTCTTCAGCATGCGGACCGTCTCTTTGTAGTGAGGGACCAAGCGAGCGTGCCGAGGCTGCGGCGGGAAATTCAATACGTCAATACGATTGCTGCCATATCCAAAGGGCCACGGCGAACCCTCGCCGCCAGGGCGCGGCCCTCTGCACCTGAGGGGCTCGGCCGTGTCCTGCACACGTGCTGCTCCTTGAAATTGTGGCCCAGGACGATGGCGCAGCCTGTACTCTTGTTAATGAACTCGCCCACGCCCGCCTCGGCCTCCAACACGATCCTCTTCCCAATCCTGCGAGTGAGAACTTCCTCATTCCTCCTGTGCGTAGCCTGCGTGCCAGCTAACATCACCACGTCCATACTGCTGCAAAACATGGCGACCTCTTGGAGGCGAACGCCCGTGCAGAACATCGGGTTGTACCCCAGCACCCGCAGGATCCACTGGCCCACGGGCCGCGCCATCGCGATGCGCGTGGCGCCACGGCGGGCCATCCGCCCGCCTGCGCCGCGGCCGCCCCTCGCGCGCTGTGCGCCAGAGCGGCGGCTAGAGGAGGAGGAGGAGGAGGAGGAGGAGGAGGAGGAGGAGGAGGAATGGGCCCATGCGGCTCGTGGACGGCGGCCTCAACGCCCTGGCACCGCTTCCAGCGGCGATCCCGTGGTGGAGGTGTTTAGACTGCACCGTGCTGCTCGGGGAGGCTGCTGAGGGCAGCAGGAGCTGCCCGTGAGGGCTCTGTGTGCAGCCAGATGCCTTCCAGTCCTCAACCAAAAATCCTCGAACGTCTTCTCCTCCCTCCTCCTATATGCGATGTCTGAATGTTTCCGATACGGAGTCCCCCGAAATCCCAAACGCCCGGGTAGTTGCTTTACGGCCCCCATGCCAGGCGAAGGCCCCCGGAGGCCAAAAACTGCCAACAACCTCACGCAGTTGTTCCACGCCGCGACCATGTCTGGGCCTTACCACGCCTCCTGGGGCACGACCCCGCCAGGGAGGGAGGGAGGAAGAGGGAGGGTGGGAGCAGGAATGAAGGAAACCATGCGGGGAGGGGGCAGGGATGGGGGAGATGTTGTTTCTTGCGCCTTCGTTGCGATGAGATGATTCTGCCCGCCCGCCTCCAAGATGTACGTGCACGTGCTGCTGCAAGGGACTGCGCTGGCCCTAACCAGGTCCTTGTACAGCTCGTAGGCCTGACCATTGGAAGGAAGGATGAACGGAGGAGGGAGGAGGAGGAGAAGGAGGAGGAGGAGGAAGAGGAGGAGAGGCACGCGTGTCCGCTGACAGGCGGCCAGCTGGGCCGGTGAGGGGCAGGGGAGAGGGGTGGCTGGGACGGAGCATGGCAACCTGCTCAGAGCCTCCGAGGCCTTGGCCCCCCCCTGCGACCGCGGAGGCTGGGTGGTGCTGGCCAGCCTCCCTGTTCTCCTCCTTCTGCTCCTCCTCCTCCCCCTCCTCCTCCCCCTCCTCCTCCTCCTCCTCCTCCTCCTCCTCCTCCTCCTCCTCCTCCTCCTCCTCCTCCTCCTCCTCCTCCTCCTCCTCCCCCCCCTCCTCCCCCTCCCCCCCTCCTCCCCCTCCCCCTCCTCCCTCCTCCCCCTCCTCCCCCTCCTCCCCCTCCTCCGTACTGGCCAGTCTCCCGGTTCCCCGGGCTGGGGGGCGGCAGGCTTCCACAGTTCCCAGGCCTCGTCGAGCTTCTTGAGCTTGACGCAGCAGTGGACGGCGTCGCGGAAGGCGAAGCGATTGGGCTCGATGCCCGCCGCCCGCATCGACCCGAAGAGCTCAAGGGCCTCCTTCAGCTTTTTGGCGCTGGTGCAGGCCCTGATGAGGATGCCGTAGGTCTTCCCGTTGGGATCCAGCCCGAGCTTGGGCATCTGCTCAAATAACTCAAGAGCCTGGACGAGTGCACGTGCGTACGCGCGCATGCGTGAGGCAACGATGCATACGCGCAGGTTGTACGCATGCATGTTGCATGCTGCGTTCACACCTAACCGTCACGCATTGCAAAACATCACAAGAACCCATGCCCAGCTGCATGTCACCAAACGTCACAGCGAGCAGACTAATGAGTTTGATTCCTTACCAGTTCTATGCGCCGCACGACGCTCCTTGATGCTACACAGAACGAGCTACAACCAAACAAATCGAAGCTGGAAGACAGCCGTGGCAAAAACGGAGCGACGCGCATCAGCAAGGAGAGCAGGATAATAAACAATTGGGAGCCTGGCTGGTCATGCCGAGGTGCGAGCAAGCGCATAACACCGCATTGAAAGCCACCCGGTCGATTTTGATGCCCCGCTGAGTCATCTCGTCGTAAAGACGCAAAGTGAATACGGGCTCGGTCCGCTCATGCGCGGCCATGATGCAGCGGTACGCGGTCGCGCTGAGGTGCACACCCTTCTCCCGCAGGTCGACGAAGACCTCCACGACGTGGTCGGGAAGCTTGCTCTTCCAAGAACGTATGAGCTGGTTTTGGATGAGGTTGGTGGGCGAGAGCCCGTGAGCCACAATGGTCCGCATGAGCTGAATCCCGTCCTTCGAGAGAGCGCGTCTCGCGGGCTCTTGCTTTGGGACCATTCGGAGCCGGGAGATGGGCCACCCGCCAACACCCGGCGCCGTTGATCAGAACCAGGAGGACCCCCCTCCCCCCTAATCCCCCCCCTCTCCCGAACCCCCCCCCATCCCGCTCCCCATCCCCCTCCCAAGGGGGAGGGGGGGGGTCCAACCCCCCCCCCCTCCCCCCTCGGCGCCGACGCCAGCGCCCGCGCTGGCGGCCGCCAGCAGCGCCGACGGCGGGGACGCAGCGACGATGACCAGAGAGGGCCCAGGGGGAGTGGGGGGTCCAAACCACCCCACCTCGCGCCGGCGGCGCCGGCGCCAGCGCTGGCAGCGGACAGCAGCGCCGACGGCGACGATAACCAGAGAGACCCCAGAGGCCGCAGAGGGAACACGCAAATCGCCATATCGAGCCCTCGCCCGCCACCCACAAGCCAACGAGAGACCCTGAGGAAGGTCCACGAGGCTTCACACATGCTTCTCGAACGTCCCCGAAACCCTTCTGACGAGACCTCCAGAGGCATCGTCCAATAGAACCCTGACCCAAATCCAAAACACGGTGGCGGGAAGAGCCGAAGGCCACACCACCACCACAACCACAAACCACCACAACAACACCACCACCGCCACCACCACCGGCACAACCACCACAACCCACAACAACCACATCCATCACCATCACCACAAACTACAACACCACCACCACCACCAAAAACGCCACCGCCACACAACCCACCACAACCCACCACAACCCACCACAACCACCACCACCACAAACCACCACACCAATACCACCACCATCACCACCACCGCCACAACCACAACCATCACCGCAACCCACCACCACCGCTAGTTCCACCACCACCACCAAACCACCGAACACCCACCACCACCACCACCACAAGCGCCGCTACCAGCAGCAGCAGAGCACCACCACCACCAACACCACAGCCCACCACCACCACCACAAAAAAAACACACCACCACCACCACCTCAACCCACCACCACAACCACCACCAACCCACAACACAACCACCACCACCACCACAGCCACCACCACCACAACCACAACCACAACCACAACCACAACAACTCACCACCACCACCACGACAACCCACCACCACTACCACCACCGGCACAACCACCACAACCCACCATACCAAAACCACAGCCGCCACAACCACCACAACTACCAGCAGCAAATCCCACAACAACCATCACCACAAACCACCACCACCACAACCGCCACCACCACCACGACCACCACCACCTCCACGAACCACCGCCACCACCACGACCGACACCACCAACACCACCACAAACCACCACACCACAACCACCACAACCACCGCCACCACCACCATCATCACCACAACCCACCACCACCACCACCACCACCACAAACCACCACCACACCACCACCAAACCACCACCACCACAACCACCACCACACAGCAAACCACCACATCACCACCACCACCACCACCACCACCGCGACCAACCAACACCACCACCCAACACCACCGCCACCACCACCCCAACCCACCACCACCAGCACCGAAACCACCACAAACCACCACACCACCACCACCGCCACCACCACCACCACCACCAAAACCCACCACCCCTACCATCACCACTACTACCACCAAAACCAGCACCACAACCACCACGACAAACCCCCACACCACCACCGCCACCACCACCACCACCACCTTAACCCACAACCACCACAACTACCACCACCACCATAAGAAACCACCGAACCACCACCACCACCGCCACCACCACCACCACAACATGCCACCACAAACACCACAACAACCACCACCACCACCAACCACACCACCACCACCACCACCACCGCCACAACCACCACCACCACCACAGCCCACCACCACCACCGCCACCACCGCCACCACCACCACCTCAGAGAGGCCCCAAGAGACGCCCAAGAGGCGCCCAGGATGCTGCACACATTCTGAAGTCCCCCGAGAGCCCTCCGACGAGACCCCAAGAGGCATCCATTAGGCCTCTGACCCAAAACCAAGGCACGGTGGCAGAGCGTCGTCGTCGTCATCGTCGTCGCCGTCGTCCTCGTCGACGCTCCCCGCCGCCGCCGCCCGCCGCCGCAGGCGCTGGCGCCGGCCCAGACAAAAAACTCGTCGTCCCCGCCGCCCCCGCCAGCCGCCGCCGACGCAGGCGACGGCCCGAGGAGAGGGAGAAAGGAGAAGTAGGGGAGGAGGAGGGGAGGGGGGGCTCGAACCCCCCCGCCTCCGTCACGGGAGTGGGTGCACCCCCCCCCCCCTCCCCTCCATCTAGGGGGGAGGGGGGCCTGGTTCCAACCCGCCCCCCCCCCTCCAAGCGACCACAGAACGCGCTCTGTCCGTCCTTCTGCATGCGCTTGTCGTCCAAATTCGACGCCACAAGCTTGAAGAACTTGCTGGCATTGCCGCTGCTTATCGACTGCGAGTCGCAGGCGATGCCGCTCTTCAGCATGTGGTCGAACAGGGACAGCGCTAGGTCGGTAGTGTTGAGCCTGGCACAGGCACCGACGAGCTCCGAGAATGTCGAGGCATCGGTCGGCAGGCACGCCCTGTCGGTCATCTTGATCAGGTGCGTGTCGGCGTCCCACTGCCCAAGTCTCTTCATGGCCGGCACACTGATCTTCGCGGCGGCGACACCCTGTGTGGGCCCCACGGTGACCTTGGGAAGATGTTTCGACGCAGGAGGTCTCGGGCTCGTGACCTTAGAAACGCCTCCGTCGCACACCGACCAGCGTCTCGCTTTTGCGAAGCCGGCAAAGTAGGTGAGGATGAAGAGCAGAAAGACGATGACTTCGTTCTGAGACTGACGCATGGCCTGAATCAGCCGAGCGGCATCAGCACTCGCATCGAAACCGAAGATCATGTTGGCAAGGACAGCGGCGAAGACGCAAATGATGAGCAGGTGACGATACAAATCATCACGATGCCCGCTGGCCTTCGTGGCAGTGTTCGTGTGCTGCGCCATTGCGCGATATGCAAGAGAGAACTGCAACATCGGGAGACCTACACCTTTTTGGTCCTCTCTCTCTCCTTTCATCTCCCTCATCCTCAGAACAGAGATGGAGCGGGACATACCAAACAGGTGTATAATGGAAGCCTCCCGGATAGAGTGAGGCAACAAATCGTGCTCTTAAGAGATAGACGGCCTGTTCGAATGGGCCACCTTGATAGCCCAGGATCAGGGCGACTTCGAGCAACAAAAGTTGACACAGGGCATGACGCATGGTATGGACACAGAAAATACGAGTGAGACTGGGCACAAAGACCGTCCAAGACGGAAATTACCAAATGCGTTCGTCCACGTCCTCCGCATGGTGGCACTGACGACACGGGAGGACCGGCGACGGACAGCAGTAACATTAACAACAGCGTAAAGGGCCGTCCCGCACGCGGGCACGGATTGCTTAGGCAAACGATTATCAGAGTGAGGGGGCCGAACGGTCATTCATTGTCCCTGGGTGCGTGGCTGAAGTGCGGATCGGTGGTGAGGATTATGTTTGTTGCGTTGTTGTATGTTTATCGTCGTCGTCCCACCCGCGACCCACCCGCGACCCACCCCTCGACCCAGCCCGCGACCCACCCCGCGACCCACCCCGCGACCCACCCGCGACCCACCCCGCGACCCAACACGCGACAACCCGCGACCCACCCGCGACACACCCGCGTCATGTCATCCCACGACCCACCCGCGACCCACCCCGCGACACACCCCGCGACCCACCCCGCGACCCACCCCGCGACCCACCCGCGACCCACCCGCGACCCACCCCGCGACCCAACACGCGACCCACCATTGACCTACCCCGCGACCCCGCGACCCCGCAGCGACCCACCCGCGACCCACCCGCAACCTATCCGCGACCCACCCGCAACCCACCCGCGACCTACTCACATTGGTTTAACGAAAGAGTCGGCACCTGCGGTGGGCGCCTTGCACCTGCGGTGGGCGCCTCGCAAACTGCTGAAGTCCCCACCGCCCCCTCACTCTGATCCGCATCTGCGGGGTGCTAAGTATGAAACGCGGGATGTCATATCATGTCTGATTGCGGCTAACTAATCAAGATTCCCCTGAACCTTAAGCTATGATCACAGTCATGGGGCGCCTCGCAGTCTCGTGTACACGCTCCCTTTGGGGTGCACGGGAGGAAAGGATACGCGAGGGAGTCCATTTTGTAGCTCCCCTCCTAGCATGTGCTTCAGGCGATACTTCGTGGCTAAGGTGTGCGCATGTCAAGGCAATCTGGGCTAAGCGAACATATGTCAGTTGAGGCGGGGGAGGGGATGGGGGAGAGAGTCGCGTCGTAGCATAACTCCTCTTTCGCAACACGCTGGTGAGACCAGTAGAAGCCTTCGACGATGCGTCACGGGGCGAGACCCAAAGAAGAGCGACACTGATCAGGTGAACACCTCAACATCACAGGGAAAAAAAGATCGCGCCTTCAATGCCAATGCACACGTACCCCCTGTGCAACGATTGATTTGGGCCTTTCTACTCCAAACAAATATTAGCCGTGCTGTCAAAAACGGGTTCTGCGTTGCTCACTTGGCCGTCCTCTGTCGGTGTCCTCTTGGTTGGAACTCCAGGGCTGGCCCTATCTGGCGCACTCGGCGGTTCCCCGGTCGGTGCCTCATGACTGGTGCCTGCTGCGTGGGCGCCCCATGGGGTGCCCCATGAGTTGATGTCCTACGGCTGGCCTCCATTGCGCAGTCGGCTGTTCCCACTCCGTCTTCCATGCTTTGGTGCCCTATTGTTCTCCATGACGGGGTTCTTGTTAATACTTGGACGCCTCCTACTCCTCCTTCCTCTTCTTCTCCTCCTCCTCTTCATCCTCCTCATCCTCATCATCATACCTAGACTTACTCATACACAGACTTACTCATACTCAGACTTACTCATACTCAGACCTCATTATATTAACTTACTGATACACAGACCAAATTACTCATACTCAGACCTACTCATACTCAGACGTACTCATGCTGAGACTCACTCATACCCAGACTTACTCATACTCAGACCTTCTCATTGTCTGATTTACTCAACACACAGCAGATTGTGAGGATGTCTCAGGCGGGACGCTGGCTTCAGCACCCCTTAGGGGAGCCGCCAAAAAATGGTGACATGGTCCCGTTCGCGGCCGTTTTGTGGGGATGTCAAGCGGTTTGCCTGTTTTCTGTCCCAACATCCTTCGCTTGGAGAGCAGATTGTGAGGATGTCTCAGGCGGGGCGCTGGTTTCAGCACCCCTGAAGGGAGCCGCCGACGGGTATGACACGGTCCCGTTCGCGGCCGTTTTGTGTGGATTTCTCAAGCGGCTTGCCTGTTTTCTGTCCCAACATCCTTCGCTTGGAGAGCAGATTGTGAAGATGTCTCAGGCGGGGCGGTGGTGCCAGCTACCTAAGGGGAACCGCCAAAGGTGCTGTCACGGCTCCGTTCGTCGCCGTTCTGTGGGGATTTCTCTGGCGGGTTTCCTGTTTTCTGCTTTTGCGTTGTGTCCCGAGTGGCTCTCCCCGTTGCGTACGGCGGTCAAGGAGGAGTGACCAGGTGATGCTGGCGCAGAGCTTGTGTCACCGTGGGATGTTGCTTTCTCTCTCCGTGGTGCTTTCCAATCTTGTCGTCGTCAGCGGGAGAGGGAACTTGAGAAGGTTCATTCTCCCGCGTGCGTTTTGGGCTGGGGAGGGAACTTGGACAGGTTCACTCTCTAGCTGTGGGAGAGGGAGCTTGAAAAGGGTAACTTTCCCGCTTGTGGTCGAACTGGAGAGGGAACTTGAAAAGGTTCACTCTCCAGGCAGGGACAGGGAACTTGAAAAGGTTCACTCTCCCTCGTGCGGTCGGACTGAAGGGGGAACTTGCAAAGGTTCACCCTTCAGTCGCGGGAAAGGGAACTTGCAAAGGCTCACTTCCCCGCATGCGATCGAACTGGAGAGGGAACTTGAAAAGGTTCACTTTCCAGGTTGGGGAGAGGGAGCTTGAAAAGGTTCACTCTCCCTCTTGTGGTCGGACTGAAGGGGTAACTTGAAAAGGTTCACCCTGCCGCGGGAAAGTGAACCTTGCAAAGGTTCACTTTCTCGCTGACGTTCGAACTGGAGAAGGAACTTGAACAGGGTCTCTCTCCTTACGAGTAGGACGATTGAGGGATAAGGAAGGAGGAGGTGAGAGGAGCTTTGCCTCGTGTTCGGTAGTAAAAAGCTAGACGCTCATTTACATTTCCCAAATACAATGTTACCGTTAAAAAAAGATGCACATATGGGGAACTCCACGCAGTGAGTAATTGATGATGCCGGCTGCCGGGCACCCGTTGGGGGGGGGGCGAACGACGAACAACAAAACAACGGGGCCCGACGAGGGCCAATCGGGTCTGTATGGGATTCCGTAGGGGACCCCATGAGGTTCCGTACCGATTCCATCAGGGTCGCACAAGGTTCTGTCGTGATTTCATCGGGGGCCCATGAGTTTCGATAGGGATCCCACAAGGGCCCCAGGAGGCTTCGGGTTCAGTTCGGCGCACCCCTCACACGCTTCGTGGCCCCAGTGGGTTTCACCAAAGAATTCGGGTCAATTTCGACACACCCCTCACACGTTTCGTGGCCCCACAGGGGGCTCCAAAGAAGGCTTCGGGCCCATTTCGGCACACCCCTCACACGTGTCGTGGCCTCAGTGAGCTTCATCGAAGGTTTCGAGTCAAGTCCACAGGGGGCTCCACCGAAGGCCTCGGGTCCACTTCGGCACACCCCTCCCACGCTTCGTGGCCCCAGTGGGTTTTACCGAAGGTTTCGGGTCAATTTCGGGGCACCCCTCACACGCTTCGTAGCCCCAGTGGGCTCCACCGAAGGCTTCGGGACCATGTCGGCACACCTCTCGCACGCTTCGTGGCCCCAGCGGGCTCCACCTCAGGTTTTGGTTTAGCTCCGGCACAACTTTCGCAGCACGGGCGCGCGGCGCGGCGCCAGGCACGCGCGCGATGGAATCCACGCGCGCGCGGCGCGCACGCGCGCACGCGCGCCCGCGCGCGCCGCGGCGGGGCGCGGGGGCGCAGGGCGGCCCGCGAGCGCCCGAGCCCCCACCCAACGCGCGCGCGCACGAGCGCATCGGGCCTTCTGCGCGCGCGCCGCGCGCGCGCGCCTCGCGGCGGCCCTTCATTTTCCGGCGCGGGGCCCGCGCTCTGGCGGACGGAGCTCGGCTGGAAGCCTCCTCGCTGGTTGCTCGGCTGGCAGCCTGACCACGTTTGCGGACTCCTTCTGCGGTACTGGCGCTGCCCGCGCGCGCTCGGGCCACCGCCGCGGCCCGCCCGCGCTGCTTCGACTGCCGCCGAACGCGTCTGCGCCCACGGGCGCCGCTGGAGTCTCGACTGGGTGTGGTGCACAGGGCAGCGCGCGCAGGAGCCACGGTCGCCCGCCGGCGGCC